TGGTTGATATAGAACCCCCAGAAGACATATACCGGGTGCTAGGCAGGAATCACCTTTTGATAGATGCTCCAAAGGACCCAACTGAACCCGATCTTAATGCCGCAATGGGCAGATTGAAAGGGGGCATGGCGTTCGACATGCGGGATTATGCCCGTCAAACGGTTGCATTATATCTTGAGGTTGCACAGCTAAAAACAGAAAAGTTGCGTGATGCCACCACTCCATTCTGTCCCGCTGGATCCCTTGATCCTGCAGATGACGCCTTGGAGGGTGAGCTCGGCTTCGCCGCTTGCCGCGTGTTAATGAAAGCCTTGTGGCTCGGCCGTTTGGCACGTCCAGACCTGGTCAAGCCCATTGGCGACCTTGCCTCATTTGTTCAGAAATGTTCTAGGAACTGCGATAAGCAGCTACATAGGCTTGTCTGCTACATAAACAGCACGGTCAACAGCACGCTAGTTGGCACAGTTCAGGATTCGACTGATGAGTTGCATCTGGCTCTCTATGTGGACGCCGATTTCGCTGGAGAACGAGACGCAAAATCAACGTCCGGAGGATTCTTGACTTTGAGTGGTCCGCATACGCATTTCCCCCTTGCGTGGGTGTCTAAAAGGCAGACCTCGGTCTCCCGATCGACAACCGAGGCGGAGATCGTATCCCTCGCGTACTCCCTTTATCATCCACGAGGACAACCAGGCGACTATCCTCGTAGCAAAGAAGGGTTTCTCATCCAAACTACGCTGTGTCCAGCGCACCCACAAGGTGAACCTCGCGTGCATCGCAGAGCAGCTTGAAAGCGAACATATCTCGATAGAATACGTCCAAACCGACATGCAGTCAGCAGACATCTTCACGAAAGCACTTCCACCCAACAAGTGGGACCATGCCATCCGGTTGCTCGGCATTCGTGTTGACCTTCCAGAGAAGCTTGAAGACGTTCGTGAAAGTAGATCCGCTAAAGCAGCTGCCTAGTGCGCTGCAGCATGTCCGCAAATTTCCAAAAGTGTGCAAAGTGCCTGGGCGATGCTTGAATAACTTGCGTCAGGCTTTGTGGTGTAAACTTGACTTCAAGTTGGCGTGGTAATGCGCCCAAGACACTCCCTCAGTGCCGTCAATGAGGGGGGAGTCAATTATCACGATGACATTTATGGCCCAGAGGTACATGAGGTAGGTTCTCATGTAGTCAGTTGCATGTTGTACATTCAAGTCAATGCCTGAGCATGACCCAATCATTGCTTTGGCTCAAGTGCTGAAAAGAGCGCGTTGCTCGCGCTTCCCACAAGGTTAAGGGAGAGGTCGCAGTCACGGAGGGGTTCGTTCCTTTTAAGGTCCCGGGTTCCCCCGTTGTTGACAAAACTGTGTTTCCCTCTCCTTTGAGTTTTGCAGCATGAAATCCTGGCCTGGCAGAAGCCATTTGCAGGATGCCGCACTTGCGCAGGGCCCCAGTATCGCAGCATCGTGAGGCAATGGCTGTTTGTTTCTCACGTCAACGTAACTGTTTCCGCCTGCTGCCTCGCAGACAGTGGCGAGGAATTGCTCATAACCCGTCACCTCCCCACAGGTCCCGGCACTTCGGCACACAGCAGCAGAACAGCTTCCTCTATAGCCTTGTGAGCCTTGGAGCATGTTCTGCATTCGCACTGAACATCCCATAGCCATCTAATGTCCGAGAGAGGAAGCCAAAACGACCCTGTTTAACATCTATGTTTGGTGAAGTTGGCACTGCCACCGGGCATGAAAATAATTGTTGATCACAGCATGCCGTCTGCCACTGCGAAATCCTTTGCACGGCTCGGCTTAGTTCATTCCGTAAAAGCCTGCTGTAATCTTTCTTGCCACTCTGGCCCTATGGTTGCAAAAGGCTCACTGAGCATTGCGGACTACAGTTGATGTGTTCAAATGTTGTCCAAGTTTTGAAACTGATTTACCAGCACCCTGCTTTTACAGCAGCTCGACTTGCAACATGGAGAAGCCACGCGGAGTGTTCGGGAGAGGGTCGACCTCCCTCATGGTGCGCTGAGGTGACCACCGCTTGCTGGGCACTGGCCAATTTGGTTTCTGACAGCCCTGAGGCTGGGATAAGGAGCAGAAGCCCCGGCCTCGTCAGGGGATGGCAGGAGCCGCAACGGCAGAATCCACCGCACTTCACGGGATAGATTCAAGGGTGCATTGGCCTATTGGGTACTTTTTACCCCTGGATCAACTGCTCATGTCTGCCCTCTTTTGGACGTCCCTATAGGGGATGATGGAAGAGGTGATGATGTGAAGAGGCGAGCATGTGAAGGGCCTTCTTGGGGTCATTGTGAAGGAAAAGAAACCACCCATTCTGGAGCCTCCCTCATTCAATTGGAGATGGGTTCCCTATTTCATACACCTGAGACCGGATCAAAATTATGGGACGTAGCCTATGCCTTATTTGGGAAGGGCACGAGGGACTGTCCGACGGCCACTGCCAGGCGATCGATCACCTTTGCACCATTGGTGGCGCTGCGACTGCTGTGCCTCTGCTGCCTTCGGACAAATGGCCTTAGTGCGCGGGATATGTTTGACACCCAGAATGTAAGCTTTCGAGTTTGCCCGTTTAGACTTCAGACTCGAGGGTTTGGTTTTGACCTTGAACCTGCTTAGGTGCCTTGATCACAACTTCAGCTGCAAACTCTGTGGATTGACTTTTACCCTGTTTGCCCTTTGCTTACCTGATTGGATTGGGCTTGGGTGTTTCGACTTGTTCGAACAGTTTATGGACCTGGAACCATTTTTGGCGGACATTCACTCTTGAAAATTATTTTCCTGCCCGTGGGGGGGAGACATTGCCTGATGTGCATTTGTGTCTGCCAGTTGTTTGGCAGCAGTTGGTCCATTGCAGGTCGACAAGCAGTAAGCAGCAAGGGTTGGCTTGAGATGAGATTGCTCAAGTGTCATGCAAGTCGATGTAACAAGAACAAATTATGACAGGGGTTGCAATCATGATACAGGGGCAGGATAGGGTATTGAAGAAAGCTTGATGTTTTGGTGACCAATGTTTGGCCCATACACCCAACTGACATGGGCCATTCGGGGGCATGAAGTTTGCAGCTTGGGCAGCTCAGCAGGGGTAAGCAGCTTGCCTGGCAGCCGTTTTGGCAAGGACACATGGATGTCTGAACCTTTGAACTCTGCTGAGTACACTTTTCCCAGTCGAAGGATCCAAGGGCAAGTGATGTTGTGTCCTAGATGCGAACAAGCTCAGAAGGAATCCGCGTTGCAACCTGGCCTTGATATGTTTAACAGGCTTACATGAATAGACACAGCGTATATGAAGGGTATATGTCAGAGGTACCTACCCTAGGGGTACGTGGTTTAGCCCTCGGAATCTACCACCCAGTGTAGCGGTTCCACTGAGGTGATGCTGCTGAAGGGCCCGGTAGCATGCTCGGCGCTCAGTTTACTTGCGGAGGTTTTAGCATGAGGTGGACACCAAGCCGGCTTGGGCCGGCAAAAGTCCAATGCTTCCAGGGCTGGCCATTTACCATGAGAACCTGGAGGAAGTTAACATCCCACCAATGCCAAAGCCCATCGAAGTTCGTAGATCACGTTTGGATGAGTACATTCCTTTTGGAAGCCAGGCCTGAGCTTTCTCATTTTTGTTGGTGGGAGGGCGGGTCTTGCAGGGAAGAAGTCCAAACAACAACTCCAACCATTGAGTCGGCAACCGTTGAGATTTAGAAGAATGGTGGCTCCGAGTCAAGGATTGCAGGCGGTTGTTGCTTTGTTTGCATTGCTGAAGGTGAGCCATTGCCAGTTCGGATGGCAGGGCTGAGCGGGCTGTCTCGCAAGCTGATATTTGTGGCGCTCTTCCTGTTGAGGTCAGGAGCATGCTTGTGAGTACCTGCCCGTACCTGAGTCGACGCACACTCTCCAGCATGTTTCTCTCACCTGCCTGTAAGCTGTGCCGTTGGCAGCAGTATCACCAGCTGGCAAGAAATCAGTGTTGCTGGCAATTGTGCAGCGTAGAATCGGCATGGAAGCAACGGTCGAGAAAGGGACAAACTACTCTATTTATCAGGAATGATCATTTGGTTGCGCAATATTGCGATAAGTGACAGCAGTATTTGACGCTGGCAGAACGCTTGGAATGTGCTTTCCACCGCTCATTCCTCAGGTGCAGGTTCATTGCGAGTATTGCAGGCGCGCAAGGTTTCAAGGGATGAGTTAAGTAACCAGCAAGTGGGGATGTGCCATGTTTTGAGTACGAGGTTTTGGCCGGCCGATTTGGGGCTTGGGAGGACAGCCGGATTTCGGATTTTAAAGCCATGTTTTGCGATACCAAGGGCAAGCTTTCGGCTTAGCCAGGGGGCTCCTCCTGGCGTAGCCGACGGGCGCCCAGAGCGATCTGTGCCCGGGACAGCGTAGCCGCGTGACAGGCCTGTGAAGGAATAGGGGACAGGGAACTCCTTGTGGCGAACTAGAGGTTGGCCTGCGGGACTTTCCTTGGACTGCGCAATGCAGTGGGCTGAATGCGTCGAAAGGTGGCTTATGGAAGATGGAATTGCCTTTGATGCGGTCATTGCGGAGCAGAGGAGCATGTTTGCAAGCATTCCTTGCATTCAGGGAGGTGCATTCAGCGAGGTGCCTTTAGTTTTTGCAAAGAAAGAAGCTCTCGGTGGAGGTTAAATTTGATTGTTGGGACTGCTCGACTTGTTGTTGCCACTTTCACTTTGCGATCATACAGGCAGAGTCGAGGGAGTGTAAGGGTTTTCCATGCGTACATAGAGAGATCCTCACGTGCGAAAGCGCTGCATCCCAGGAACGTAGCAGTGCTGGTGAGCACATCCCCACTCCTCAAAGATGGAATTGGGGGAGGGGGTTATCCTGGAATCCAATTTGTGATCTGTAGTCCATCATTCGCAGGGAAGAAAATAACAAACGCTCCCCCCCCCCCTCCGCCGAACATAGGGAGAGGTTGTTATTGTTTTGCAGCTTGCTGAATCGCTCTCCGGCAAAGGTGCAAGATGTAGCGCTGCAGCTGTTTTAGGCTCCAGGGCATCATTGGGGAATCCTGCCAAAAGACTCCAGGCCAGTGTGCAGTGCCTGGATCAATCTGCGCAGTAACGAGCTCCGGATGGCAACCATGCCTGATACAACAGTCGAAGAGAGAACTTGCAACTTGTGCTTGGCATCAGCCAAGATGTCTTGCCAACGTATTGCTTTGAATTGGTTGGGCTTACAAGCACGAGATCTTGGTTTTTTGTTTGCGACATGCACCGCCTGATTTGGGTGTGTGTGCTTTTAATGATATCCCTTTTTTGGAGTGGAAACAAAGGCAAGCAAAAGGAGAACCGCTATTTGCGAGGGGTACCCTTGTTTTGAGACACATAGTCGCGTTTGCACTTGATTTGCGTCCGGTTGCAGGCAAACCATGGATGTGGCAATGCCGATTCTGCCATTGGCCAAGCGTGAGGAGGCTGGTGAGGGGCCAAAAGCTGGGAGAAACGAGATTGTCCGAAAGCAAGCACAGGGAGTTCAGATGTGATCTTGTTTGCTCACTAGCGCTTAGGGTCGCGGAGAACACAGCCGGAGCCGAAAAACGTGTGGACAGCCATATGTTGTGCGGTGGCGTGGCATGTCTCCTTTCACCTATGCCAATGCTTACCCCAGACTACTCAGCCTAGCAGACAAAATGGGGTGTTTGGCCTAAAGTTATGCGGTTGCCGGCCAAAGGAGTTGCCTCATGTATGCACCCAAGGGTTGTCGATCCACGGGGGCTCTACTTGCCCAGTGCGCTCTACTTGCCCTGATTCGGCGATGCCAGGCCGGAAAGGTGCGAGCCCAGACGCCGGACACGCGATCGCCCTCTTGCGTGTCTTCGGGCGCCCCTCGGCAAAAGTGCTTCGCTTTTTTCGCCTTCTTGCAAGAGTGGAAGCACATCCCCTTTTGCATACCCTTGGGCAACCTATCTACCCCACTATACGAAGAATCTTCACCCCTTTGGGGGTATGAATAGAAGCATTTTTTTTGTGGCTATTTTCTCAAGGGGTATGTAAAAGGGCATGTCCAACCCTCAACATGTCCACACCCGTGGCAACCCCTGCACGATGGTTTTTCGTTTGAGTCTCCTTGCAGATCACGACAGGCCATGGCAGACCCCAAGGCTTTGAAGCCCTGGACCGCCTTTTGTCAAGGGACAGATAGATTGTTTTCAGACGCGTTCCGATGCGCTCCCATTGCCTTCCCCTGCCATCTTTAAAAGGGGGGCACGTTTTAGGGTGCTCCATATATTGATCAAGGCATCAACTTTCTGGCCAAACCAGGTGTCCCGTTGATGGAGAGGAATTCGCTCTGGGTGGCAACATCAGCCTGGGACCAAGGATGGGCGGGACACTGATGACGCCAGCACTCCGCACTGCCCTCGGAGTGCAAGGGAGGGAAGCTGGGCGAGGGATGTCGGCCCCCCGGCTGGGAGACCTGATGTTTGGCTGCCAAGCAATCCCACACCTTAGACAATCAGCCAGTGATTTCAGTTGCACATCATTGCTTTTTAATTTGGGTGATGCTTGTTTGCCGCGACTTGGGCTTTGAGCACCCACTTCAACTGAAATCCGTCGATTAGTTCAGCGTTTTGGCAATCCCTGCAGGTCTAAGATATCGTCACCCAGAGTCCCCAATTTTCCCTTGGACCGCGGTCGTGCAATGGTTGGACCATTGTGAGTCGGGCGCACCGCTTGGCCCGCTCTCGGCGGTTAAAGCGCGTGCACAGCTTGTACTGCGTATACTGCTTACATTGCCTTTTCTCTTGGCAGTGCTTGCCCTCGCTGCTTTCCCTCGCAACCAGCGTAAGCGGGATGCTGTGTCCAAACAGTGATTCAACGACAGGTCGGTTTGGGTGGCAACCATATCAGCAGCCTTTGGGTAAACTGAGTTCCTCAGTCACCTTGTGCCAGACAGCCCTGGCCCAAAGATGTGTGCAGTCAATCCACAGACAACCTTAATGGATTGTGGGGGATAGGGCCAGTTGTAGTCATGTTTTCATCTGATGAGCTTGTGACGGGGTCGAAGTCATGGCATGTTGCTTGTGTGAGGCGGAACTTGTGGCCAGCCACGCCTACACCGACTCCAAGGCATGAATAATTTCATTTCGCTGTGGGATCCAGATGGCTAGATGGCAGAAGCAGAGCTAATGCCTTACACATTGCTAGGGCTCCAAGCCTGTCAGAGGAAGATTGGACTTACCTTGGCGGGCATTTCTGGGGTTGGCCAGCCGACCAAAATGATTGATGAAGCGCTAATTTTGGCCATGCGCCACCTCTGGCACGTGCCAGGTATGGCGAGCCTGTCAGCTTCATGATGTTGCCAGTGGAGATGACCCAAGAGCTGCCGCAAGAGATGACACCTTTTACGGCAGCGGCAGCTTGGATGGAGAGGCAGTTCTTTCTCTTGTCGTAGCATCAGGCGACGCAACAACTGTCCTCAGGACCCCCCGCCCGCCCCAATTTCAGGCTCTTGGTTCGTGGAGGGCCGGGGAGTCTGCGGGTCTGTGAGAACAGATGCTTGTCTGTAATGGTATGCGATTGCCGGTCGTCCAATGATGTCACTTGCATTATCCCGGCAAAAGGTCAGCCCAAAGTACTTTGAGCATATGCGAGACTCTCCAAGTTTGTTGAGAGTCGAGGTTGCAATTTTGAATTCAGCTCAGGGGACTTGGGAGGGGAAGATCCAGCCGTTCTCTCGATTCCTAGGCTGAGGTGGAGCCAGCAAGGAGGCGCACAAAGATGAATGCCAATGCCCAGGCGCGGGTAGTCGCATGGCTGCTTCACTAGCAGGGTCGGAATGGGAAAAGCAGGATGTCACGAGATTTGCTTGCAGCGAACGGACAATAAGCAGGACTACAAAATGCATGAACAAGTAGCCCCTCCAACTATCAGAAAGTGGTCAGTGGTACTGGCAACAGCGCTAATTGGGCTATTGTTTGGGCAAGGTGCAGCCGGAGTCAAATTTATGTCATCATTTGATAGATGCCCACCCTCAAGGTTGACACGGTCGAGACAAAAACGGATTTTGGAGCTTCCTCTCCCTGTCTGGCAAATAGGGCAGCAATCAGGATGAAGGGGCTGTGCATTGGAGAAGGGGCCCTGATGTCAGGCCTTCATCCCTTCTTCCTTAACGCCTGTCGAGAACAGGCTGGGTCGCGGGGTCACGGCGCAGCTTCAGCTTTTTCACGGGCATGCCACGTGCACAGTGCCATGGGGCTGGCAATGTGCTTATGCTTTTGCTGGTTCTTGCGGCCGCCGGGATGCAACAGGAGCTGCCATGAATTACCAGAAGGGCCTAAACAATTAGATCGAGTTGCGGGGTGACATTAATCTAAATCACCTCATGATCGCAGGACAAATTTGTGTGCCATTGTTTGGGCCCATAAATTTCTACTCAAGCCGCTGTCCAGGTTTATGCAGCCGGAGGCTGAGATCGCCATGTCCGAAAGCTCCATCGAAGTCTCCTCAGGCAGACGGCCATTCAATCCCCACAGCTGCAACCTGTTGGCTCCCAAAGCAGACCAGCAGAACGGTGTGTAATCAATTTATTGACTTTGAACAGGCTTTGGCAATTGAGATTTGCTTTCATTCCTCGAACACTCGAATCACTGCCAAACGGTCAATCGATATTTTCTTTCGATTCCTCACGCCCTCGCCTAAATAAACACGGGGCAGAAGCACAACCAGCCAGACCGCTAGTGACCTAGTGGCGCCCTTTGCTTTTTCTGGACTTCCCCATTTCAAATCAAGAGACAGTTTTCTCCATGGCTCGCTAAAGAAGACCGCACAAACGGCGTGGGCTATCGGCCGACCTTTTTCCCGGTTTCGCAGGCGACTCGGTGGCGCAGGAGGTGCCCAACGTGGGATCGACCATGCATGGTGCTGGCCGGGGCACCGATGTCTCATGGGATCCGGTGGATGGGTTTCTTTTGGAGTCCTGTTAACTTCTCCTCGGTTGTCCTGGCATTTCCAGTTGAATGTGTTTTCCCTTGGTTGGTGCGGTTGTTTTTTGGTGTTTTTTTCTCCGAAGCCCATCCAAGTAGGGCACACACCCCGATGCGCAGTTGTTTTGGTCATATGATGGGAAGGGACTGCCAACCTTGTTTCGTGATTTTCTTTGGAGCGTGTATGGAATCCATGGAGGTGACATTGGCACGTCGGATCAGTTTTCTATAGTTTTCTGACCTGTACAATTGAACAATCACAATTTCCCAAGCATTCCCACAGACAAGTCGCAGCAGTTTGTATGTGCATGTGTGGTACTGGCATTGGCAAAATTGTGCGTTGACACAACTGCAGGTTAAGGTACGCGTCACCACCAATCGAGCTTTTCGGGATTTGGGGGGGTTCAGGTGGGGGTGGGTTCAGGTAGGGGTGAGGTGTTTGGGGGGGTGCCCTTCACTTTGCGCGGGCTTTAAGGGGAGTTGCTTTGGCCAGGCAGCATGGTGATTTACATGGTGATTTATATAGCATATTGTACCTTGCAGAGCGGCATGCTGTGTATTCAAGGCACCCGCTGCACTTTGCAGCACATGCATGACATGCATGCTACGAAAACTGCGGTCACAGCACCCTCCGTGACAAATATAGATTCTCCGGACCCTGAATCACCATGTGAACGGCTAGATTTTCCAATTTTGGCGGTGCCGCGTGGCAAATCCAGACTTACAATTAGATGCAGGGAGTCCAATGCAAGCTTGATGGTATCCTGGCCTGGTTTGTGCCATTCACTACTGTGAATGAGCGGTCAGTGCGGGGCTTCTCTTCCACATTGGTTTGCTTGGGGTGGGTTTTGCTACGAGGACGGCTGATCCATTTGGCCATACCTCTTTGTCATCAGGCTTGCTGGTCCCTCAAAAGTGCACGGGGCAAAAGGCGCTAGAGACATTCCAGGGTGTCGCATTCGTCCCCGTTCATTTTATGCTTTGAGGCAACTGCAAGCGGGGAGCCCAGCGGTTCGATTGTCTTTGCGGGAAGCTGGGCGGGAAGCTTGGCTAGGTCCGGTCACTTGGAAGGGGGAGACACGGTGCAATACTCATGCCCTGGAAGGTGGTGACATTTGTGCAGCTTTGGATTTTTCACTCATGGATAGTTGCCGCCAAAGTCTGAGCTGCAAACACCAGTGGAACCGCATGGCCACAAGGCACTGGGTTCATCCCTTCCATTTCTAGTGTTTGTTCCGGGTGGCACTGTTGCAGCCAATGAGGCCTGTGTGCTTCACTGAATGGTCGGTAGGGGCACCAACCTTTGCTTTCCAGGCTTTGGGGTGACTGCTTTGGCCAATAGATTTGTACTGGACCATTTTTAGAGTGTCGGAGCTCCGAAGCGCCGCTGCGACTTGGGTTTCAGGGAATGTGAGCCCAGAGTACCCATTCATGCATTCGAAGAATCAAGTTGACAAAACCATTCACGCCCCAAGCCTTTTTGTAATTGTAAACGCTGCGCGTTGCCCGCCTCGGCAGCGTCTGTGGCTCGACTGCAAGCAGCAGAGCTGGTCAAGTGGCGATTTAGGAATGGATAGCGTCGTTGGACTAATTGATGTTATGGGCCGAAGTTGTGTAGGAATCCCCGAGGCAAGGGCAAGGCGATGCATAGGACTAGCACTGAGTCATGGAGCCAAGAGTCAGTGGCGCTGCTTGCTGGGGCAGTGGATGTCATGGGCGTAAATTGCACAGAAATTCTTGACAACTAAAGCGAGCTGTGGTGCTCAACGCGCGTGGCAGTCGTGATCGACTGTGTTGGCGTGGGGGTTGGGCTACGCCTGCGGCTGGGCTGACTTAGCTTGGGTGTTGCTGGCTGCTTTCAGCACGCCAGAGGGTTGCAGGCCTTGCTGGGCTTGCCTGGTTTGGGTGGGTTGCTGTCTCAAATGGTTGGGCAGGTGGGTGGGTCTGTGGTTGGGGCGTGGGTTGGAAGGGTTGGGCTGGGTGGTTGGGCTGGGTCTGAGGCTAGTCTCAGACACGTCAAACAGGCCTGGCCAGCTCAAGGTGCTTTTCGGGTTTTGTCATTCCCAGCATATTTGCAAGAAAACTGGGCCCAAGGCCCGCTGGACAGGATCTTGGGCCGGCAGAGGGGGTGGGGGGGGGGTTAGGCTGGAGGCGGGGAAGGGGTGGGGGAAGGGGATAAGCGAATTCTCTTTGGAACAAAGACATTGGAGCGCCCTTGGCCCGCTTGGGGCCACGCGATTTTCGGGAGCGTATCGAATCAACACGCGCGCGCACACCCACACGCGCACACACCCACACACACCCGCGCACTCACACGCGCTCACGCCCGCACGCACGCACACACGCACACACTCACCCACCCACCCACCCATCCACCCACCCACCCACGCACCCACGCGCACACGCACGCACACACGCGCACACACCCACACACAAGGCACTCACACGCGCTCACGCCCGCACGCACGCACACACGCACACACACCCACCCACCCATCCACCCACCCACCCACCCACCCACCCACCCACCCACCCACCCACGCACCCACGCACACACGCGCGTACACACGCGCACAGAAACACACACACAGACACACACACACACACAGACACACACAGACACACAGAGAGAGACACACAGAGAGAGAGAGAGACACACAGAGAGAGACACACAGAGAGAGAGACACACAGAGAGAGAGACACAGAGAGAGAGACACACAGAGAGAGACACACAGAGAGAGACACAGAGAGAGAGACACACACAGAGAGACACACAGACAGAGAGAGAGACACACAGAGAGAGACACACACACACAGAGAGAGACACACAGAGAGAGACAGACACAGAGAGAGACAGACACAGAGAGAGACACAGAGAGAGAGAGAGACACAGAGAGAGACACAGAGAGAGAGAGAGACACACAGAGAGAGACACACAGAGAGAGACACACAGAGAGAGACACACAGAGAGAGACACACAGAGAGAGACACACAGAGAGAGACACACAGAGAGAGACACACAGAGAGAGACACACAGAGAGAGACACACAGAGAGAGACACACAGAGAGAGACACACAGAGAGAGACACACACAGAGAGAGAGAGAGACACACAGAGAGAGACACACAGAGAGAGACACACAGAGAGAGAGAGAGACACACAGAGAGAGACACACACACAGAGAGAGACACACAGAGAGAGACACACACAGAGAGAGACACACGCAGAGAGAGACACACACAGAGAGAGACACACACAGAGAGAGACACACACAGAGAGAGACACACACACACAGAGAGCGACACACACAGAGAGAGACACACACACACAGAGAGAGACACACAGAGAGAGACAGACACAGAGAGAGACAGACACAGAGAGAGACACAGAGAGAGAGAGAGACACAGAGAGAGACACAGAGAGAGAGAGAGACACACAGAGAGAGACACACAGAGAGAGACACACAGAGAGAGGCACACACAGAGAGAGACACACAGAGAGAGACACACACAGAGAGAGACACACAGAGAGAGAGACACACAGAGAGAGACACACAGAGAGAGACACACAGAGAGAGACACACAGAGAGAGACACACACAGAGAGAGACACACACAGAGAGAGACACACAGAGACAAACACACAGAGAGAGACACACAGAGAGAGACACAGAGAGAGAGACACACAGAGAGAGACACACAGAGAGAGACACACAGAGAGAGACACACAGAGAGAGACACACAGAGAGAGACACACAGAGAGAGACACAGAGAGATAGACACACAGAGAGAGACACACAGAGAGAGACACACAGAGAGAGACACGCGGAGAGAGAGACACACAGAGAGAGACACACAGACAGAGACACACAGAGAGAGACACACACACACACAGAGACACACAGAGAGAGACGCACAGACAGAGACACACAGACAGAGACGCACAGACAGAGACAGACAGAGAGAGACGCACAGACAGAGACACACAGAGACAGACACACAGACAGAGACACACAGACAGAGACACACAGACAGAGACACACAGACAGAGACACACAGACAGAGACGCACAGGCAGAGACACACAGACAGAGACACCCAGACAGAGACACACACACAGACACAGACACAGACACAGACACAGACACAGACACAGACACAGAAACAGACACAGACACAGACACAGACACAGACACAGACACCGATACCGACCCCGACGCCGACGCCGACGCCGACGCCGACACCGACACCGACACCGACACCGATACCGACGCAGCCACAGACACAGACACAGACACAGACACAGACACAGACAGAGACAGAGACAGAGACAGAGACACCCACACCCACACCCACACCCACTCTCACAGCCACACCCGCGCCCACACCCACACCCAGACCCACACACACACACACGCCCGCACGCACGCACGCACGCACGCACCCACCCACCCACCCACCCACCCAGCCACCCACCCACCTGCCCGCCCGCCCGCCCGCCCGCCCGCCCGCCCACCCACCCACCCACCCACCCACCCACCCACACGCGCGCACACACCCGCACGCACGCGCACACGCACACACGCAACGCGCACACGCACACGCACACAGCACACACGCACGCACACAAGCAGAATCCCACACACACACAGACACACGCAAAGAACCACACACAGCAACACACAAACGGAAGCACGCACGCACGCACGCACACACACAGAGAGAGAAACATACACACACACAAGCAGAATCCCACACACACACGCACACACACACACACACCCACAGACACACAGACACACAGACACACAGACACACACACACACAGCACACAGCACACAGCACACAGAAAACAGCACACAGCACACACCACACACCACACACCACACACCACACACCACACACCACACACCACACACCACACACCACACACCACACACCACACACCACACACCACACACCACACACACACCACACACCACACACCACACACCACACACCACACACCACACACCACACACCACACACCACACACCACACACCACACACACACACCACACACCACACACCACACACCACACACCACACACCACACACCACACACCACACACCACACACCACACACCACACACCACACACCACACACACACACACACACACACCACACACCACACACCACACACCACACACCACACACCACACACACACACACACCACACACCACACACCACACACCACACACCACACACCACACACCACACACCACACACCACACACCACACACCACACCACACACCACACACCACACACCACACACCACACACCACACACCACACACCACACACCACACCACACACCACACACCCACACACACACACAGCAACACACAAACAGAAGTACCACACACACACACAGAAACACACACGCACACAAACAAGCTAACAAACAATCAAATACACAGACAGAGAAACACACAAACACACCACACACCACACACCACACCCACCCACACACACCCACACACACACAGACACACACACACACAGCACACAGACCACACACTGCTACCACCAAGTGACTGTCGCCACAAAAGGCGCATGTTTCTCCAAGGCCCTGTGCCTGGTTCTGGAAGTCGAGAGGTTGTACCAATGGACAAATCTGCGACTACTGCCACTTGGCTGAGCTGATTCAATGCTTGTGTCGCTGCCTGGGGCACGGGAGGCATTTGCGGTTCACGGCGCCGGCTGTAAGTCCATCCAGAGTTGCGCACAGTCAGAACGTTGAACGTCATAGATGGGCAGCACTTGGGTCTTCGCCAAATATGCCCAAGTGGTTTCTAGCTCCTGGCGGCTGCCATGTTGTAATCTCACTGATCGCTTTCCACTATAATTACTCTTAAGTATCAATTAATTCCCCCTTTAATATAGATGTGCTTTCTGTGCGTACGGCTGCAGGGGGTTCCTACTTACCCGGCCAAATGGGACAAAACCGTCCTGTCTGGTTGTGTCAATTCAGGTTGAAAGGGAGCAATTATGCTGAAAGTACCCTCTAGTAAGGGCTATCAGGAAGATAGTATTGGCTTGGCATTGGGTGAAAAAAAAGTAATATACGAGAGAGGTTTTTGTTTGGAATTTTGGCCTGAAACGCATACTCAATGAATCGGGCTGGTTTAATCCATTTTGGGGAAGAGATCAAAAACTGACGCGTTTGGAGTTGCCACAATTTCCCGACTTCATACCAAGCTTCTTTAGTTGATGTACTCTTGAAGGAACATGAATCTTGTGGTAAACACAGCAGCCATCACAAGAGTACCAGCCCAAAAGGTTGCACAAGTTGCAGAGACTGCGGAACCTTTGGGCCTTTCTTGTCTCTGCCCCATTGATGGCAGGCCATTTGTGCCCACCAGGAGCACTGAAGGCGGGGTATCGGTGGTTTGCCAAGACGGGTTTCCTTTGGGTATTATTTCTTGGCTATCCAACGAAGGCTTCGTTCCAGCGACATGAAGCTTGATTCACTGGTGGGCGAGGGAATGTCATTTCTTCCCGAAAGGAAGTCCCAGTGTTCTTGCAGCCGGCTATGTTGTCATGTAGTCTGAGTTATTTGGCCGCTTTGCACTTGAAGTTTTGTGGATGTGAGGATTCCCACCCGGAATTCCGAATGTTGCCTGGTATTCCTGATGGTAGAATAAAATTGATAAAGCTCCTGCCAAAGTGCTTCAACCAGGTGACCACGTGCCACTTCCAACTGGCCCAATTGGCCAGCTGCTTCAGTGCACACAACCTGGCGTGCGTTTGCGTGTGCTCGTGCTGTGTGTGGCAGGAGCGGGAGAAATCGAGCGTGCGAGTTATTCGTCATAAACAACTGCTGTTGATTTGTGTATGGTATGCACCTTGCCAGGGCGTCGTGTCCCTGCCAGATATATATATATATATAAGCACTGCACTCTCGATGATCAAGATGAAGACGAGGTTGACGACACGCCAGGTAATCATGATCGGCGATTGGAGTTGTTGACGCAAGCTGTCGAAGGTCGGACTCTCGCCATTGTTTGTTTTTCAGATGTTTTTTGACAAGCACCCGATTAGTTGTAAGGTCTCTGTGGAGGGCCTGCTGGCTGGGAGAATATTGGTTTGACAGTCTTTGCAGAGGGTCGGATCTTGCCATTGTGGGTGCAGTTGAGTTGTTTTGCGCAAACACCCCTTGCTTTTCAGGTCTCCGGGGGTGTTTTGGGGGCTGTTTCTGTTTACTTGACCTGACAGCTTGCGAGCATCTGGCTCTCGCCATTCTTTGTTCTTTGACAGCTTCGCCGCGCACGCAGCAACATGTGTCAATTATGCAGTCATAGAAGCACAGTCGTATATCAGCACAGCAAGCGCGAACACTTTGCAGTTGTCGGCATTCTCGGGCGGCAGAGCCATCATGGACTTGTGGGGCTTCGTGGCTCTTCTGCGGAACATCATCATTTTGAGGTTGGCTGGCAGCAGCTGCCCAACATCCACTCTATCCGCGTTGGGCGCGCGCTGCTGATGTTTCAAGTTGTTTGCTTCTTAGCATGGGCTTCCTCCGTTTGGCAAATGTGTTGTTTTCCCATTGTCTCGTGCCATTTCGCCGACGCACGACGCCTGAGAAAGGTGCTTCCCTTGTTTACATTTGCCAGCTACCCATGCGCCACGGGGGCTATGGAGTTTTGTTCATTGCCCATGAACCACGTGTGGGAGTTTCCCTTAGGCATATGTCCTCTTGGCCCTGTCAGTCGGCATGCGGGGCTTCCGTGCTTTTGCGCGGCAGGAGCGGAAGAAGGCCAAGGTCGCAGCAATCCGATCAGGCCCTGGAAGGGCTTCACGGTTTGCCGTGCTCATTGTGCCCCTTTAGCCTTGCCAGAAAGGCTCTAAGAGCCCCTTCTCTTCCAGAGCCATGTTGGCAAAGTTTGGATGTTTGTGAGGCCTCCTAAAACCCAAGCCTTGCCAGCCCTCTCCAGCCCATTACTTTGGCAAAAGAAACTCGCGCGTTCAGCGTACGGTGCTGGACTCTTGACGCGTTACCTAACCCCACAAGCACCTGCACTTATCCTGGACTTACCCTAATTCTGCTCGAAACCAACACTGAACCAATCCAGGACCTTCCAAAAGCAAGGCCCCAGAGCCAGCCACAAAATCCATCAAGCGACCAAATGTAACAGTTCCAAATCTGCTTTTGGAACGAGGTTTGAGCTCAGGCAGCAGTAATCAGGCACTTTGCCGGATAGGGTTGTGTGGCTTTCATCAGAGGGGTCCATGAAATCGGGTGTTCACATGTACCAGCAGTGTATCACTTTGTGCGCAGCATTGACGAGCCAATGCTGTTTGATCGCACTCTCGATCGATCTATATCGCTTCAAGTTGTGCTTGATGTTTGCTTGCCTGGCTTCCAACAGATTTGCTGGCGGGTGTTGGCTGGCGCTGTTTAAGGCAGGCCTTCGATACAGAACTTGCTCCAAGATGGATACCCACGGAGATCCATCTCAGGCATTAGGCCAAATCTGGTGCTGACATGTGAGGCAGAGACTGTTGGCCAGGCTTGGAGGGGTGAAGTACAAGTTGCCGCCCTGCGCGGTAGGTGCCATTGCCCCGAAGTCCAGCCGTGACCGCGTCCACACCGTGTAGACAACACAGCGGAGCTGACAGCGGACTGAAATTAATCGAGTGCTTTTGTTTCAGTGCGCGTTTGACTGGGAATGAGCTGAGGCATCGTTCTGTAGATCGGAGATTGGTGTTTTTGCTCGGTTGTCCCGTGTCAGCCTCGTGGCTAGTGGGAAGTGAGGCTGCTTGTTGCAGGCCTTGAGCCCTACAGAAGCTCGCCCTTTGCGAGTTGGGGTTGGGCAGGATTGGGCCAAACTGGTTTGATATGTTTGGATATTGAGCGTCATCAATGTTCCCTTCGTGCTTTAAGCTGCCCAACCCTGGGATTGAATTTTGTTTTTTGTGGGCTGGAAAGGGTGGGTCCGCGCCTCGAGCTGCCAACTTGAAGGCGACCAAATGCTTGACATTTCTCCACTTTTTTTGATTCGCCACTTTTGTAAAGGTGATCTCATTGGGACCGGTCGGCTCCATCCCAATGGGCCCAGAGCTTGCGCTTCTTGAACTCATTGCGGGCCGCTGCCCAGATTCGCTAGTCCCAGAGTGAAGGCTCTTTTGTGCCGCGCCACTGCGAACCTTGTATGGCAAAGCGCGTGCATGGTAGAGCGTGAGCAAACGCCTTTTAACAAGGGAGACTATGTGAAGCATTTAAGCGTTCCATGACCTGAATTTGGGTGGCAAGTGAGGTGGTCAGAAGTTTGAAAAACTGGCCTCTGCAGTCGCTGACAGAGGCTGTGACGCGTACTGATGCAATTTGCATCTTCACAGGCCGCTAAGCATTGTTAAGTAGGAGGTCTTTAGTTCCAGGGTGCAAGGTGACAACTTCAGTTGACTCGGAGATCATAGTGGCCAGCTTCCCCTCAGACACATGCCTTGTGTTCAAGTCATGTGGCCACGCAGTCCCCTCGATTCAGGGCCGTACCTTTAGCTTCATCAGTTGTTCAAGGCCTTCTTTCCGCTGGTCCCACGTGGACTGCCATGCTCGTAAAGGAAACAGGGCGGATCAGAGCGGTAGGTGCCTTCATCCTATCCAGCAAAGAGCTGCTTTGTCCTGAGAGGCAATTACAGTGACACTCGCGGATTGGCCGGCGACCCGGCAAACATCTCTTTGTCCCCTTGCTCCTCGTAAGATTGACGTGAAAGGGGGGAGGTGGATCGATCCGAACTTGCGGAAAGCCACGGCGTTCCCCGTGACCAGTGCAGGCATTCACTGACCAAACAACGTTTGTGGGGGAGAAGAGGTTGATGCCCGTGAAGGCCCAAGGGAACGCAACTAGCTCACTTCAGCTTGCGGAGTTCTTTGCTCTGGCCTTGCCAGCGTGCTTCCAATTAACCTTGACCACGGCTGTGGTGGTGAGTGCTTTGCCATTCTGTGACACACTTCTTATGTTTACCACTTTTATCTTGTTCGTGGGTTGTGGAGAATAATCAGAGGCAAGTATGCCAAGAGGCTGCGGGCGTAGAGGGGGGCTGGAACATATGGTTGTGTGAATCTCATTGGTACGATAAAAAAGGATTGAGAAGGTTTGTTAATTTGTGCAGGCAATTTGGTTCCTCCGGTAGTTGCAAGGGTCCGTTTGAGAGCAACACCATAGGATCTTCAATGGAGCTTCAAACACATCTATGTGACATAAGGCAGGCTTTTCGAGGCTCAGTTTCTAAAGCGTGTGTATAACAGGTCAGAGAGGCAAGGTGTTTGTTTTTTAATAATGCAAATATATATATATATATATATATATATATATATATATATATAATATATTTCAACACAGAGCCTGTGTCCCACCATGGTGTTGGGTCATTTTGATGGATGTGTTTGCGGGCTGGTGCGACAGGAGCCAGTGAGTGTTTGGCTTAGTCAACAGTTCCTAGATGCCAGCTGAGATGGCAGCAAGGTTTGGAGTTCAGTGAAGGCCCTGCCTGGCTTGTGTTTGAAGCAGAGGGTTGAATGCGCATGGGCACCGGCACCAGAATCATGCTCAGCGGCATGTTTTTGGGTCGCCTGTTGAGCAGCTTGCTGGCGGCGAGTTGTGGCTTTGAGCAGCTTGCCGTGGGGATGCGGCTGGCAATGTGTGGCAGTCTATGTTCAAGAACCTCTTGCATTCTTCCTGTTGCTGCCGGCCTTACGATCTGCGCTCTCCACAGCACCTTCTTGTGAAAACCGGCATGGCGGCTTTTGCCCACACCCAGGAGAGGCTGCTCTGTGTTGCGAAATGGGAAGGCTATGGTTGAACATGACGAGGCATACGTGCCCTTGGATTGAATAGAGGCACATGTTTAGGGAGAAACAGTAGGGCCCCACGCTTCCTTGGGCCTTGGGATTTCTTCGCATTTCCCTCGCAATTGAGTCAGGTTTCCGTGTGAGCAGGTTTGTGCGGAAATTCGGGGTCCACAAGGTTGCTTCCACCTACAATTTCTGGCGGGATGAATTTTCACCGATGCTGCAAAGGTTCGGCATATTTGCCATGGGTAATGTTCACCCCGGATTAATAAACCCCTGGTTGATTAATAGGGGGGTTCCCCCTTTTAGTGGGGATGCATCACTTCTGGAGGGAACACCCCCCTAACAATGGGACGGATTTATTGATCCTGGGTCAACATTAAACTTGCCAACTTGTCATGACATCCTGTTCGGGCTCCGCCCGTTTGGATGATGCAGGTGCAGAACAGCCACTCCTGGATTCTGGATTCTTTTTTACGCGGGCACAGCTCCGCACATGAATGTCTTCCATAGCCGTCGCTGGGTTGGATCAAACCAAGGACCATGCCATGTCTCATCGTGCTGTGTATCGCTTACACTGCAGTCAAGCGCATGTTCCGTCATCACTTTGCGGGTCCAATTTCACGCCCGCCTGCAGTATATCTCCAGCAAACATGCAACTCTGAGAATGATCGCTCCCGGCCGAAATCGATAGACTCAGTTTTGCCATGCTGGAAGCTTTCTGCTGAGACAGAATTGTAGCTCTCACTGAGTAGTGCTTCAGTCTGTAGAAGGGTAGGCAAGTTTTTATCCAGATTACTTTTGCAGGGCTCAAACATGAGGAGTCCGTTGGGCTAGCTCGGATCGGCGCAACTAATCAAAACTGCATGTTTCCAGATTGCAGAAGCTGGAGCGTGAACGCCCAACAAGTTGCCACTCTGAAGCTTTGTAGCATGACTTCGCTCAGGTTGGTTTTTTGGTGGGTGAGCCGACTGGACGCAAGTATTGAACAGAAGTCATTTTGTCAAAGAGGGGTTGCAGGGGCATTGTCTCCGTGACTCCCTTGCTTAAGCTTGCGTGGCTTTGGTCCCTGAAGTAATGCCAACCCTGTCCGCAACGAATTTGGCCCTATGCGGAGATGCCAAGTTCGGGCTCGGCGCGCCTTGCAGTTGTCAGTTGGACCGGCCGCGCCTCGGCCTGCCCTGCCAAGCAGAAGGAATGCGTAAACTGGTTAACTCGTTCCATTGTCATCCTGTTTCCGCTTGTGTCCGACTCCAGGCCCTCCTTAAAGGCGTTTCCTGGAAGCAAATCAACCCTGCAGATGCACCATTTTTGGCTTCTATGTTGCGTACAGAAATCCATCCGACGCATAGATCGACCATGGTTGTGACAATTCTTCACCTGCACAGCGCGAGCCAGATTGGCAGTGCAGGACAATGAATGTACATGTCGGCAATGTGTTGGATATCGGTACTGGTTTTTTGTCGACAAACTCTCCTGAAAGTTTGTTGGGCTTGGTAGGTGCGTGTGATTGCCTTCTTTTGCATGTGTGTGTGTGATGCAAGTGTTGCTTGGCAGTTTGGTTCAATTGGCTTCTCCTTGGCAGTATTTAGGGCAGCACCACCCTGAGGGAAGATGCCGAGCAGCTCCGGATGTCTCGAAAAAGTGAGCCCAAGCCCAACGGACATGAGGTTCAACGCAATTTACGAAATTGTCCAGTGGCCAATGCCTCTTGTACATCACTTGACTCTTAATTGCCTTTATTTGTCTCCGATCTCGGGTCTGCTCGCCTTTTCCTTGTGCCTCAGGGTGGGCTTACGAAGCCGTGGCACACGGTTGCGAAGATCTCCGGTGCCCGGCCTTTGGCGCTCTCTTGCCTCTTGAAGCCGGGCCTCACTATCACGAGGGGAACGCCATGTTTTGTGTTTCGGGTTTTGGCTCAGGTTTTCGCAATGCTTATTTGTTGGAAGCCTGTGGGCAAAGGGCAACTTCTTTTAAGGGTCCCTTTCTTACTGTGTGTGTGTGTGTCGTTTTTTGTCTCTTGTTTTTTAATTAAGGGGCTGGATTGTCAGATGTTGAACATGTAGAGCTTCCAGTTGCCCAGGATTCTTCAACCGGTCTTGTTTCACGTTTTCAGGGACGTTGGATGCGCAGACCCCTTAGCATTTTGGAGGCCAATGCTCCTACGTGCAAGAGGCCGCCATGTTTTGTATAGTGCCGAAATTCAGTGCGTGAAGAGGCCAAAGCCGAAAGACGTTAATTGAGACATGGCCCGGCCCTGCGAGCGTGGAAGTTGGAAGGCAGGCCAGCAAGTGCAACTGTACCACTTCCCATTGCAGCCAACTACCATCACCCTTGTCCTCGTTGAGATGCCCCTTTTAAGCCCATCATGGCCAAAGGGCATCCAATTGCAATGGCGTTCTGTGGAATAACCATGCGCAAGTGTAAAGTCAGATGTGGGCAGAACATTTACAAACCGTGGCAGGACACAAGTCAGCAGTCTTGAAAGGCATCCCTGAGCACGAGTCGCAAAGAGGCTTCAGGGGTCAGCGCTTTTCAGATTCCTGAACTGATCCTGGCCTGTGACCGCTGCACTGTTCCTCTCAACCGCCAAGATCTTTTTCAGGCAACGCATGTGCTTTCATGCAGCCAACATAAGACACACACATGTGAATTGCATGGCTGTATTGCCGCCTTACGCCTCGGCTAGCAGGCGCATGTCCCGTTCCTTGGGCTCCGCATCTGAGCGCACGATGGGTTGGGGTGAACCTCGCCCTTCGTGGTTGTACATGAAATACGCACGCCGCATTGCTTGCTCGCTGGCGCTTCATTGGGCAGGCAACAAGCAACACGAAGTTGCCCAATGG